TAAATCTTTCCTTAGAATTAAATAACATGCCATAAGATTTAGGTTAAGCTCCACTTCTAGGTTTAGTTTCGTTACATATTACTCTATGAAGGTTTACCAATGTCACTTCCATTCTTCAAAAGATTTTATAGTTGAATATCGCTTGATATTTTTTGTACCCTTTACAAGAAAGATGTCTCCCAAACACATTTTCACTTTCAAAACTAGAAGTAACCTAACTGTTTTTCCGAACCAATTAAATTCTGGATCCCCAATTAATTTTGGTACATTTTCAAAAAGACTCGAATTATCTCTGATTGTTGAAGAACCTTCACCATATTTCATCAAACAATCACAAGAAGACTTTCTGCCATTAAAGAAGAGTGTTGTTAAGCTTGCTACTATTGTAACTGTTGTTACTATTCTCCATCATCCCGACACAAGACATGAACTACTCAAGGCACAAATAATCTTTAATATCAGCATGTCTGATAAAGTTGATCAAAAACAAAGAAAAACAAAGAGTTGAAATAAGAATATAAGACTCCTTAAAAAGGTTACCTGAGTAATTACTAAAGTAGAGGCAACAGATGAAACTTCTTCTCTTTTAGAAGGAAGTTTCATTTGCTTTATTAATGCTAGGTGAACAAAATACTCATAATATAGCAAAATTAATATCATCGCTGTCTAAATATCGAAACTCTACTACAAAGATAAGAAAATCCTACACCCCTTGCATCTACAAGATGATTGAAAATATTATTTAACGAGAAAATTCTGCCTTCCTCAAAATCCTTTGTACCATTGAGGGAATTCCATCTCAAATACAAAAGAATATGTCTTAAACCATGAGAAAATATCAAAACCAAAGCTGGTCTTTTCACGATTATCTGTGTATCTACCACAACAACCATCATCTAAAGTAACCTCGTTCACCCCATTACAACCTAGAAAAATTTGGATTCCATATTGATTATCACTAGATGCTCCTCCCTATATCTCATGTCACCTTTGAGAAGATGCATCCATCAATTTTGTACCAAAATCTTGCAAATTAGCAATCCAAATAGATGATATAGGAGTAGAATCATCATTTTCCATTTTAACTGATGCAAAGAAGTTATTACAAATTAAGGAGAAATTCAATCCCGGGATTAATTCTATTTTGAAGGATAATGAAAACAAACCAGAAGAGTAAATTAATGTCATGTCAAACCATGAAACTAATTATGTGCAGTTGAACCGATCCATGTTAAGAGTCGGCCACTAAATGAAGCAATGAGTGAATTGGAATCTAGTATCAAACAACTCAGAAAGGAAGTAGTAGAAGAAAAAATTTCTTTCATCCTATTTGTTGGAACTAGATCATTTGTAAGAGAACATCAAGATGATAATGATTCTCATGACACAATGGTAAATGAGGGTACAACACCAAATGCTATCTATAATCTATTAGAATAATTAAAATAAAGGGATGAAAAATATAAAGATTAGAGAAAGGATGGAAGAAATACTATTTAAAAACCCTCAACATGAAGGATAATAGAAAAAAAAGGATGTACCAATTCAGGATGAAGTTTCTAAGAAGAAGTTGGAATTCCCTCTTTACTCCTAAAGGGACTTGAAACGCTTAGTCGAACAACAAGTGAAAGATGCATGCTTTCAATTTTGAAGTACTTCATTTATCGCTAAAAAGAGACCCTATCCTAAAGATTTTTATTTGACACAATACCTAAAAGGTTTTAAACTCTGAACCTTTAAGGCATTCAATGGAATCGCTAATCCAAAATAACACTTAGCCCATTTTTGTGCAAGTTGTTGTAACTGATGCCGCCCATAACTCATCATTCGCGGTCGCCATCAATTCTCACTTTATTGATGGTGAGTGTCTTTTGGTTGAAAGGAGTCGCCGCTCTATTTATCTATTTGTATTTCCCTAATCTCCAGTTAACTTATTCTCGTGGATCATGTCAAGTATTTCATGATTTTATGAAACTAGGAGAAGGAAGGAGAAGGGCTAAAAATAGAGAACATGAGAAAAGATCTTTCATTGTCGTAGTAATGATAGAGAAATGGTTTCTCATATAAGGAGAACAACATGAAAAATAACAAGAGATTTTAGGTGTATCACCTATTCTGAGTTCTTAATTTTCCTATAGGAGCAAGCTCCTATAGTTAATTAAATCGTAGAGAGTTAAATGTCTAAGAAAACTCCTGATTCTTTATCAACACTCGTTCTTCTAAGAAATGTTAAGCTCAAGGAAAGAAACATCAAATGTTTTATTCCTAAGATAATAGATTCCTAAGAATCTGATTTTACCCTAAAGGTTTTGTTTTGTTTTGTTCATATCATTCATTTTTGTTTGTCTTGTTTGTTTATGTCATGTCATGTCGTTTTTGTTTTTTTATGTTATGTCATATCATTTTTTTTTTGGTTTTGTTGTCTTGAAATTCTGCTTTGAAATGTTGTCTTACAAAACATAGTTAGCACATCCTATAACATGCAATGAAAATCTAAAGCTAAATTTTATTTTCATCTCTCCAATAGACCTACAAAACAAAATGTGGTTAGCATAAAATCATGCCTTCATATTTAGTTGGTCATATATTTGATTGAATACTTTTTAAACGACCAGGTCAAGATGTCTATGGCTCCGTCGTCTCGGGGCCATAAAATATTTGGATTTACGTAGTTTGAGAGGTGTTTAAACAAGGACCAAAATATTTTTGTCAGCAACCATAGATTAAGTCGTCCAAGAAATCTTCGTAAATTTGAAAATAGATGTTCGAGCTTAAGTGCAAACGTATTTTAAAGTGAATTTTATGTCATTTATGTCAGTGAGTTGGATTTCATAATGTCATTTGTTTTAGGACATATGTCGATTAGACCTAAAGAAGTTTAATTGAATCCTAAGATTTAGGTTTAATGTCGGTGAAACTTTAAGATTTGATGTCATTCAATTTGGATAGATCTTAGGTTATGAAGATGATTTAACTTCAATGTAGTTAGAACCTAAAGATTGAGAATGGTTTAAGTCCAATGTCTTTAGGACTTACGATGTTTTAGGTTCAATTTAGGTAGAACCTAACGGTTTAAAATGGCTTTAAATCGAATGTTATTAGGGCATAAAATGTTTTAGATTCAATGTGGGTAGAGCCTAAAGATTAAAAATGGTGTAAGTCCAGTGTAGATAGGACTTTGAGTTGATTTCAATTTAATATAGATTGAACTTAAGGTTTGAAATAATTTAAGTCCAATGTTAGTAGGACTTAAGGTATTTAGGTTCAATTTAGGTAGAACCTAAGATTTGAAATAGTTTAAGTCCAATGTGAGTAAGACTTAAGGTAATTTAAGTAGAACCTAAGGATTAAAATGGTTTAAGTCCAATTTAGTTAGGACTTGAGATGATCTAGGTTCAATGTAGGTAGAACCTAAAGATTGAAATGGTTTAAGCCCAATATTATTTGGACTTAAGATGTTTTAGGTTCAATGTAGGTAGAACCTAAGGATTTTAAGTCGAATGTAGGTTGGAATCAAATTGTTTTAGGTTCAATGTAAGTAGAACTTGAGGTTTTAAAGTAGTGTATGTCCAATGTAGGTAGGACTTAAGATGTTTTAGGTTCAATGTAGGTAGAACATAAAGGTTGGAATGGGTTAAGTCCAGTATGTTTAGCACCTAAAATGTTTTAGGTTCAATACGAGTAGAACCTAAGGATTAAAATGGTTTAAGTCCAATGTAGGTAGGACTTAAGTTTTTTTGAGGTTCACTGTAGAACCTAAAATTTGAAATAATTTTAAGTCCAATATGGTTAGGACTTAAAGTTGGGTCGATTTAAGTTCAATGTAAGGTGAACTTAAAGTCTAAGTTTTAGGTGGATTGAACCTAAAACTCATATTAAATTGGGTTGAACTGAAGAGTTTTGTTTTGATTTAAGTCTAAATTGGGTTGAACATAAGAGTTTAAATTGGATCAGGTTCAAGTTGGGTTGAACCTAAAGTTCCTGTTAACTTAGGTTCAAATGGAGTTGAACTTAAGTTAAAGGTTTGATTTAGGTTTAGTATATGTTGAACCTAAGGTTTGGTTAACTTGGGTTCAAGTTGGTTTGAACCAAAGTTTGAATTGAGTTAGGTTCAATTTGGGTTGAAACTAAAGTTGATGTTGACTTAGGTTCAATTTGAGTTGAACCTAAGTTAAAGGTTTGATCTAGGTTCATTATATGTTGAACCTAAGGTTTGGTTAATTTAAGTTGGGTTGAACCTAAGTTTGAAGTTGAGTTAGGTTCAATTTGGGTTGAACCTAAAGTTTTTGTTGACTTAGGTTTAATTTGAGTTGAACTTATGTTAAAGGTTTGATTTAGATTCAATATATTTTGAACCTAAGGTTTGGTTAACTTGGGTTCAGGTTAGTTTAGGTTCAATCTAAGTTGAACTTAAGAGTTTGAATTGAATTAAATCTTATGTTGTTAAGACATAAGGGTTGAGTTGGTTCAAATTGGGTTGAACCTTGGGTTAATGTTTGACTTAAGCTCAACTTTTGGTTGATCTAAGATTTAATTTTAGGTTCAATGAGGGCTGAACCTAGGGTTGAAGTTTTGACTTAAGCTCAATAAATTCCAGTATGTGTTTAACCTCTAGTTAAAGGTTTGATTTTAGGTTCAATGTGGGTTGAAACTAAGGTTTAGACTTTGATTTAGGTTCAATGTGGGTTGAACCTAAGGTTTAGGTTAACTTGGGTTAAATTAGGGTTTAACTGAAGCTCTAGTTTTGATTTTAGTTTAATATGAGTTGAACCTAGAGGTAGATTAGACATAATTGGGTTTCAGTCTAATTAGGGTTTAGAGCCTACTTAAGCTTAATGTAATTAAAGCTTAAAGATTAATTAAGTGTAATTAGGGTTAGACTTAACTTTGTTTAAAGGTTGTTTAAGTTTAATGGTAAGTAAGGTTTAAGGATTAATTAAGTCTAATTGAGTTAGACTTAATTATGATTTAAAGGTTGTTAAGCCCATTATAAGTAAGGCTTAAGGGTTAATTAAGGGACCGTTTGGGAGAAATTTTTTTGCGCGGCGCGGCGTCCTCCCACGAATCGCCCCTATTTGGGGCAGAGGTTTGATCGCGGCGGCCTCGCGCAGCGGAAAGAGGCCTGTCGGATCCCTCCCGTGGTCAGCTTTTTCCAAGAGCTTTCCCGTTTTTAATACCTTACCTGCCCCGCCCTGCCATAATGCCCCCTCTCTCCCGAGGTCACGATCGTGATTCCTCTTTGCATCTTCCGCCCTGGATGCGAAGAGAAGGTCGGTAATGAGATTGATGAAAAGGGAGCTCATGGAGATGAGTCGTTCCTGGGAGGCACCAGGGGAGTTCACTGCTTTGGACCAGGCAATGTTGAAGCCATTGGAGAAGAAGCGTCCATCGGCGATGATGACCAAGGCTCTGCCTTGCCTGCCGCATGAGTAGTAATCAGTCTTGGCGTAGGCGGGGGCGGATTGTATCGCATCAATGACGTCAGGGAAAAGACGACGCTCGCCGTCCCTGGTGAGAGTGAGGAAGAACACTCTGCCGCGTTTCTCAATAGTGCAAATTTTGGAGTAGCGGAATCAAGATGAATTGTTGCTTCAATTACTTGAATCTGGCACAGAACTGTAAGGATTTTATTGGGCCTTTAAGCTTTGGTTGTAAACCGATACCATGGATGTTTCGTGTGAGAGAATGAAAGTTCGTCAGCCCCTTATCTGATGAAACTAGAGCTTGTAAGCTAAAGCCTATAATCTGTCATCTTTTTCTTTATACTCAGTCGTGTTCTTCGTGATCAGAACATCTTGGGTAGACATTGAGATCCCTTATTTTCTTTGAGAGCAGATTTTCTACTCTTTGAATGTCTTTGAAGCGTTCATTTAACCTTTGAGAGATCTTTGAATAGAGTTTTTTTAGTTGGTGAAGAAATTGATCTGATATTTTACTTAAATAAAAATCTTTTTTTTACTACTAACTTATTTTATTTATCTTATATTTTACTGCATCTGTTTTCATTCCTTTAAAGTATGGTGTCTGGTCTAGGCTTTAATCCTAGAAAACTATTTTTACCAATGGTTTTTTATTTATATTTTTCATTCTAAATACCTAGTCGAAAGACAATTTCAGTAAAAAAGTGGCCCTGTTCATTGCAATCTCTAATATTCATCTGATGAAAATGGAAGCACACAAAAGAACTTCGATGAGAATGATGCTGAGTATGTGAATGCGACTGTAATTGAAGTTGGTATGATTTTTAAACTTAACTTTCTCGATCATAATTTCATCATGATGTCATTTTTTTCATAGGCACATGGATGCATGCAGTCATAGTTAACTTTTAGGAACACTTGGGAAGACTGAATTTTATTTAAGAAGTTTAAGTAAAAAATATATATGTTCCTACACATTTTTTTCACTGAAAGTATAGATTAGAGTTCATGATCTTATGATTTTCACAATCGATAAGTTAGAAACTAAGAAGTTTTGATTTCACTGAAAATATATGAATGACACTTTATTTAAAGAGATTAGTTTGACACTTTATTTAATAGTATACCTTTATTTAGTTTCTCTAAAATGAGCTTTCCTTGGAGTGCATTTTGAATTTAGTGCTAGTTGTAGGGAATATCTACATCCAAATACAGAAATGTTCTTATGGGAATTGAGCTTTCCTTTGAGTGCATTACATACATAGCACAGAATTGCATACAGAAATGTATTGGAGGATTAAAGTTTGGTAGAGCAGGTACAGCCTTGAAAATTCCATGGGAATGACAAGGTTTATCTGTTTCCATCATTGGTTGCAATTTTTGCAATTTTCTGCTAGTGACTCATTTTCTGCTAATGATAATTGGTTGCCATTTTTGTAATTTTCTGGAATTTGCTAATGATTTTTTTCAGCTATTTTCTGCTATTTGCTAATGATTGTTGGTTGCAATTTTTATATTATCGAGAAGCAATATTTTTTGTTGTAGGGGCATTTACATAAATAACACCTATTTGCAACTTGTATGTATTTTCATATTCTTTTAGATTGTCAGTTCTTGCAGGTTTACTAAAATTTGAGCAAGTGAAGGGGAAAGAAGTTCTTATTTGATGTCGTTGCAGGAATTGAAAACATATTTGAACAAGTATTGGGCATTTACATACATATCAGAAAATTCTTATATATTTACAATTCTCACATCTAAATGTAAGAAATATGTCTGATTTAATTTACATATATAGCACAAAATTCCCAAGCTTTACATACATAACACAAAATTCTTATATATTTACATAGTGCACAATTCATTTATACGAAGCTTGGGAAATGGTATTTTTTGATGCAATATGGAAGATTTGAGTGGTGTAAATGTAAGAAAGCAAAGTTTAGTTGTTAGATATGCAAAGTTTATTTTCTGCAATTTGTTTTTTTTTATTTCAGTTTGAATAGCAAGAATTCTTTTTTCTTTAGTGAATCTGGGAGGCGTAGATGTTTTTTTAGCTTTTGGTTGTGTTTATTCTATGGACATTTCTGGATGTTATCACCCCTTGACAGCGGTTTACTTGTGGAGTTCTGAAGGGGAATTAGAATTAGGAAAACATTTAAAAGTCTTTTTATGAAGTTTAAGCTCATGTAGTCAACATTGTATGCTGATTTTTTTGGAATTTTAAATCCCATAATTTCTATTATTTTAACATTTTTAGGGTTTTAATCCACTAAAAATTTACTAAATATGGGTTGTCAAAATAAAAAGTTAACCATATATATGAAAGTTAAATGCATTTATGAAATAGTTAATCATATATATGAAACAGTTTTACTAAACAAGTGTAGAATTGTCATTTTTTAAGAAACAGCTGCTCTGTAGCTGTTTTCACATAGCTGCACCAAACAGACAGCCAGCGCGGCTGCTTCCCCAAAGCGGCTTCCTGGGGCAGCACAGCTGCAACTGAAAAGCTGAGAAGCTGCAGCTGCGCCAAACAGAGCCTAAGTATAATTGGGTTAGACTCAATCGTTGTTTAAATGTTTTTTAAGCTTAATGTAAGTACGACTTAAGGGCTAACTAAGTCTAATTGGGTTAGACTTAATCATGGTTTAAAGATAGTTTAATCCTAATGTAAGTAAGGCTTAAGGGTTAATTAAGTCTAATTGGGTTAGACTTAATCATGATTTAAAGGTTATCTTAAACATAATGTAACTAAGGTTTAAGTTGATTAATTAGGGGCTAGACCTAATTATAGTTTATTGTTAATTAAACCTAATGCAAGTAAGGTTTAATTTGATTAATTAGGTCTAACTAGGGTTAGACCCAGTTAGGTAGTTAAGGTTTAACTATGGTTTAATTAAGTATAAAGGTGGTTTAGACCCAATCAGGATTTGTTAAGTTAAGCCAGATGTAGTAAAGGTTTAATAAAGATTAATTAGATTTAAAGATGGTTTAAACCTAATTAGGATTTCAGGTTCACCTATATGAAATCTTAATGTCAAATTAAGTCTAGGTTGAATGTTTTGTCAAATTGAGTCTAAGGGGTTAGACTCAATGGTTTTTGAGGAGATGGTTAGACCATATGTCATTTAAGTCTAAAGATCAGGGTTTGCTCAACCCTAATATGTAATTTTTAGTTTTACAGTTTTGGCCCTAAAGATGAAATGTCATTTTTAAATTAGTAAATGGTTAAAAATTTGTCATTTTACACTTAAAAATGTCCCTCTTAGTTTTCTAACCATTTCTGTTTTTAATTTCGAATTTGTTAAATTTTTATAATTATTTTAAAGATAATTACAAAAATATGATAGAAATTGAGAAATTGAGTCATAGGGAGTATTTCTGGTGTTGACCTCACTTTTGGTTGAGGTTTAGTTTTTCCGCTTTAGTAGCCTAAGATCTAGCCATAGGACTTTCCTATTGACTATTCTTAGAAAACTAGATAAGGAACCCTCACCATTAGAAATTCCAAACTCATCGCTACTCAACTTGAAGTTCCACATATTGGTCCTAACCGCTATCGCTTAGTAGGTGGGGTCACTATTGGAGAACTCAAGATGAGTCACCCTCAGGACTGTTGGACCTTAGTGTTGACCCTGGGTGTTGGTCTGGGCTAAGGCACTCCCTTGCAATCACTTACACTCACAATCACTCACTACCCTAAACCCAGAACTTCTAGGCTTTAGTCCCTTGGTACTTTTGGGAGACTCATGTAGGTGGTCCCCTAAACCCACTTGCCCTTTAAACCCACTTGCCCTAGGCTAGGGTTTAGCTAAGACCACTAAATAAAAGAACCAAAATGGGGTTTCCATTGGTCCATGTCTTATTGATGGTGGTTGGCACTCCAACTCTACCAAGATACCCAACCTAGACTTTTGCCTTTAAACTTCCCCTAAATTACCTAAGTACCCTTCAGACGCCAAATTTGACAAAAATTCTCAAGTCTACCCAAAATACCCAAATTGGTTCAAAAATTATTTCAAACACCTTGAAAACACCCAATCTACCCAAAATCACCAAAATTGACCAAATTACCAAAATACCCCTCCTTACCCCAAATTCCAAAAATTCCAAAAAAATCCCAAAAATTCCCAAAACTTCCCAAATATTCCCAATTACATTTTTCTCAACTGTCACATGACTCAATTTGGCCAATTTGGGCATCTTTGATCAAAACCCCCAAATGGCCCTTTAAAGGTCCATATTTTCCACAAATTACCTCAAATGTCTAGCCAATTGTCACAGATAGTC